AGGAGAGAGAGGAAGTCCCTGTGCTGGTTGTGGGGGTCTGGGCACCAGCCCGGGGTCGTTCCCAGGAGGTGCTCGGCTCCCACCGGTGCTCACGGCCACCCAGGGACGCACGCGGGGCCCCTCTCCGGCCCTCACCGAGCACGCGCAGGCTGGTGCTTCCCTGCTGCTGCTGCGCCCCGTAGCCCACGACACACGTGTACAGCCCCCCGTCTGTCACTGTGACCCTGGGCAGCACCAGGGAGGCATCTCCCTTCTCCAGCTCTGTCTCTTCCATTGTGGCTCCAGGCTGCACCGAGCTCTTGCCCTCGTCGTACTCTGCGATCTTCTCATCCCAGAGTTTCCAGGTCACCTGCAGGGAGCGCAGGGCCACCGGCCCCCCGACATCGAAGTGGCACTGCAGCCGGGCCTTGGCGCCCAGCAGGGCCTGGGAGGAGGGGTCTGTCATCACCCGCAGCTGGGAGCCTGCAGGGAGGGGAGACACAGGTAGGTTTTGCCTGACCAATCTCATCTCCTTCTACGATCAGGTGACATATCACCTGGACAAGGGAGAATATATTGACGTCGTATATCTTGACTTTAACAACACCTTTGATCTCGCGTCCCACAATCATCTCATAGAAAAACTGGCCAACTGTGACCTTAGCTACATCACAGTCTACTGGCTGGGGACTTGGCTTCGAGGTTGGACCCAGAGGGTGGTCGTTGATGGAAGTCAATTGTCGTGGTGCGCTGTGACCAGTGGGGTCCCTCAAGGCTCTGTCCTTGGGCCTATACTCTTTAACATCTTCATTAATGATGTGGACATTGGTGTCAGGAGCTGACTGGCTAAGTTCACCGAGCACACCAAACTTTGGGGTAATGCGTCCACACCCAAGGACAGGAGGGTGATCCTGCCCAACCTGGACAGGCTCAGGAAATGGACAGATGAAAACCTGATGGCCTTCAATCCTGAAAAATGCAAGGTTCTCCACCTTGGGAAGAAAAATCCACAGTACGCTTATAGGCTTTGCAGTGCTTTGCTCACTAGCACCACAGCCGCAAGGGACTTGGAGGTCAAGACTGACCACAAGATGAACATGAGCCACCAATGTGATGTTGCAGCCAGCAAAATGAGCAAAACGCTGACTTGCATCCATAGCTGCTTCTCTAGCAGATCCCAGGATGTCATCCTCCCGCTGTACTCGGCCGTGGTGAGGCCGCAGCTGGAGTACTGCATCCAGTTTTGGGCCCCACAATTTAAAAAGGACATGCAGAAGCTTGAGAGAGTGCAGAGGAGAGCCACGCGCATGATCAGAGGTCAGGGAAGTGGGCCTTATTATGAGAAGCTGAGAGCACTGGGACTCTTCAGCCTGGAAAAGTTCAGGCTCAGGGGCGATCTAGTGGCCACATATAAGTTCATCGGGGTGCTCACCAGGATCTGGGGGAATGTCTGTTCATCAGAGCACCCCAAGGGATGACAAGGTCGAACGGTCACAAACTCTCCATGACCGTTTCAGGCTGGACATAAGGAAGACCTTCTTTACTGTCCGAGCCCCCAAGGTCTGGAACAGACTGCCACCGGAGGCAGTGCAGGCACCCACTCTGGACTCCTTTAAGAGACATTTCTTGCTGGGATCCTTTGACCCTAACTGACTTCCTGCCCCTGGGGCGGGGGGCTGGACCTGATGATCTTCCAAGGTCCCTTCCAGCCTGAATGTCTATGAAATCTATTAAATCTATGACTGGCATGAGACAGCACGGGGCACGGCCGTGTTGGGGGTGATGCTGCCTGGACCCCTGACCTGGTACTGGGGTTGGGAGCAGGTGCCTGCTGCGCTCTGGCTGCTTCGGGATGAAGTGGTCACAGGAGCCCCCAACCCTGAGCCCATGGGTTCCCCTTGGGGGTGCCTGCAGCTGGACATGCCCTGTGGACATGGGCGGTTGTTGTGGCTTCCCTTTGCGGTGCTGTTCATGGGGTGAGGCCCAGCTGGGCACGAGCTGGGACTGGCCATGGCCCCCAAGCCAAAGCCCCGCTCTTGGGGGTCTGGCATGAACTCCCAACAGCAGAGGCAGAGGGAAGTGGGTGCAGTGGGGAGGGTCTGGGGGGCTCTGGCCAGCTCTTGCACTGGGTCTGTGGACATCTGGGCTCTGCCTCTCTGGGACCGTGGGTGGACAGGCAGGGATGGACCCATCTGTGCAGTGGCCCCATGAACCCTGGGGCTGAGATGCACAGAGGTTTGGACTTACTTGCTGTCCTGATGAAGAGGAAGGGGAGGAGGAGGACGATGAGAGCCCCCAGCCCCATGGATCCGAGTCCGTGTCTGTTCTGCTTCCTTCTGCAGCCGGGCAAAGTCCCCAGTGGTTTCACTTTCCCTGGGGAGCAGCAGAGCAGAGTCCACAGGGAGCAGCAACACCTGCCCGGCAGTGATGGGGGAGGGTACCGGTGCCCCAGGGCGGACGCGGATTCTCAGCACCCCGAGAGCCACACCCAAAGCCCTGCAATGATGTCTGCCCCTGTGCCAGGGCACACGTGTCCATGCCAGGCCATGGCTTTCCATGCCCCAGCCCCTGCCCTATACTGGGAATGTCCCTGAGGCCACTGGGAGGCAGATGAGAGCCCTGCTTCCCTTGTGCCTGGGTTGGACGTCGTGTTGTGTCACGTCGGGGCTTGCAGCGTCGTTTTGCTCAGAGCTTTGCGGCAGAAACCCCCATAAAGGCACACTGGAGCTGCCTTCAACCATGAGAAGGGCTGCCATTAAGAAGAGGGAAGGCACCTTCTCTGCCTTGCTGCCGAGAGCAGGATGCAGACGCGTGGCTTGAAGTTGCAGCAAAGCTGGTCTGGACTGGAGATCTGGGAACACGTCTTGCCTGTGTGACAGGCTGCGTGGTGCGCCTGTCACTTTAAGACCAGAGGCTGAGTGGGAGCAGCCCCAGGTGGGCAGGGAGTGATCAGGGAGTCAGCTGACCAGAAGGGGCGGGGCTTGGGGCATATAAGCCCAGACCCAGCTGGGCAGGCTGCAGAGACCTCCTGGAGGTACTGGGGAGAGGGTCTGTTGCCAGGGGGAGTTACTGCAGTGCCTGAGGGCAGGGCGTTGTGTTGGGAGCCTGCAGCCCATGAAGAGAGCATGACAGCAGACCCCCGCAAGGCTTCAACATGGACACTGGGTAGGACGAAGTCCATGAAACTGGCTCTTTAGGCAATGCCCGCGGGCCCCTGTGGTGCTAAGAGCAAGACCAGGCTTGGCAAATCCCAGGACAGCCTCCCGTTTGTGGTGGGAGAAACCTCCCTAAGGTTCGTTGTCTAGCTGTAATTTGATTGACAGACAACGCGGGTAAAGAAAGACAGCTGTTTATTTGCTCGAGCAAAGACCATAAAGCCAGCAAAAGGCAAAATGGCCCCCCCCTAAGGGTGAGGTGATCTTTTATACTTATTACAACAAGGCCAGACTTCATGGTTAACAAAAAAAGCAATACTTGGGCGGTGCTTTTCAAATCTTTGTAACAGCATATTTCTATTAAGCTGAACTAGCACTTTTTTAAAAGCTAAAAGTTAAGTAACAGTAACATTATAATATGTTAGCAAAACCTTACACAGTAGTAGATACTTCTCAAGGACACAACCACTGCACCCAGAACAATGGTTTCCCTGTCTTATCTTACTTCTTGCTGTAGCTGATTTTTCAGCACACAGACACAGAGATACTTGCTGCTTTTAACTCAGAAAATGCTTAATACAGTTAAAATGATTACTTGACACAAGCAAAGGCTTAGCTATCAATCTGCCTTGTGGTCAGCTGCATTGCTAGGCCACAGGTCATGCCTTGTATTCAGCTGTAAAGCTAATACTTCTTAATAATCTAAATTATTGTAAACCTAACAGTATGCGTATCAGAAAACTGTTCTATTTCAGGGTAATAACAAACCTGCGCACTACACGTTCACCAGGACTTGATAACAAGAGGGTGAGAAACAGGGAGATGCCCCCCCCCGAGTCAGATGAGCAAGGGGTGAGCCGGCACCATGCCCGCCCCTTGGATGAACACATGTTGCTGCACCAGGGCTGGGCCAAATACGGCCCAGGGGCTGAATCTGGCCTGCCGGGCACCTCCCTTCAGCCTGCATGCCAGTGACCCCCAGCTCCCCATATCCAGCCCAGCCTGTGGCTGCCCCTGCTGTGCTCCGCATGGGGCCGCAAGGGTGGACAGTGGCTGCGCTCCCACCCTTGTGTGCTGCAGGGCCCTGGCCCTGGCCCTGGCCCTGGCCCTGGCCCCGGCCAGCTAGTGCCCAGCTCTGGGCAGGGTGCTGCAGCCGCCGCGGGAGGCGCT